AGCGCTGCAAGCAGCAGCAGCAGCAGCAGCAGCAGCAGCAGCAGCAGCAGCTGGCCGAGGTGCGGCTGCTGCTGCTCCGGCGCTGCTCCCCGCCTTGGCTACTCCTGTAGACGACGGCAGCAGCGGCAACAGCAGTAACAGAAACAGCAGCAGCACCAACGGCAGCAGCAGCTGCAGCAGCGGCAGCAGCTGCATGAGCAACGCGGGGGCCGACTTGGTTTGGATATACGGGCCGAAGTATTTGCTTCCTTTGCTGCAGCGGCACCTCTCGGCTGCCTCATCTGGCGCTGCAGCAGCAGCTGCAGCAACAGCAACAGCAGCAGCAGCAACAGCAGAGGGAGAAACCTCTTCTGTGGCTGCTGCACTTGCTGCCACGAAGCATATGTCCTTTTCCGGCGACAGCGGGGGCCTGCTGCTGCGCTGCAGCTCTTTGCTGCAGCTGCTGCTGTCTGCTGCTCGCCTGCAGCCTCGCGTTGCTGCTGCAGTGCAGCGGGGAGATTTGCTGCTGCAGCAGCCTGTAGATAGCTGCTGCTTGCACAGTCCTTCCCTGCAGCAGGCGGTTGCTGCGGTCAGTCAGCAAGAGCAGGAACGGCAGCAGCAGCAGCAACAGCAGCAGCAACAGCAGCAGCAGCAGACAATAGGAACGCCTCTCGTTTCCTTTCTGCCTTACCGAGTGCATGTAAACCCGAACGGAGCAGCAGCAGCAGCATGGTTTGCTGCTGATGCTGCTCTTTTCCTTCGCTCGCTGCTCCGGCGGCTGCATGCAGCAGCAGCAGCAGCTGCAGCAGCAGCTGCAGCACATGGAGGCAGCCCTGCTTGGTTCAATGCTGCGACGCCTGCACTAATGCAGCGGCTGCAGCAGCTGACGCTGCTGCTGCGCTGCTGGGGTGTGTCTGCTGCAGCAGCAGCAGCGAACGCGTGCGGCGGGGGCTGCTGCATCGACAGTCTCTTCAGTTTGTTTTGGCGCAGCAGTAGAGCTTCCCTGTCTTTCGCCAGCAGCAGCAGCAGCAGCAGCAAAAGAGATGCTGCTGCTGTTTTCAAAGGGGGGCTGCTGCTGTTGCTGCTGGGGTCGCGCAGTTATCGCCTGGTGTCTGGGGAGCTGCAGCAGCAATCGCTTGCGAGGCGCTTTTTGCTGCTTCGCAGCAAGCAGCAGCAGCAGCAGCTGCTGCAGCAGCAAGCTAATGCCACTGTTGCAGTGGCTGCTGCTGCTGCTGCTGCTGAAGAAGCAGCAGCAGAGACACAACTCTTGCTGGGGGTGCTGCTGCCGTTTCGCTTTGCTGTCGTATCCTGGAGAGCGAACGCGTCGCCGCCCCGTATGCCTTTTGCTGCTGCTGCTGCTGCTGTTGCTGCTGCTGCTGTTGCTGCTGCTGCTGCTGCAGGTGCTGCAGCTGGCCTTGGTGGTGGTGGGGCTGCTTTTCTGCGCCGTTTTTACCTGAAGCCTTAAACGTACGCTGCTCTTCCTGCTGCTGCTGCTGGTGCTTGCAGCGGGACTTGGTCTGCTGCAGCAACT